ATGTGTCCTCTCTGTGTTAAGAGATTCGGAAAGTTTCAGGAAAAAATATCCTCTCTCCTTTTATCCTGACTCATCTATATAAAAACCTAAAAGAATTAGCTGATCAGATTTTGAACACTTTGTGATGTGAAATATTTTTTTTTTGGGTTGTGCAACCATTAGTCAATAACTAACCAAGGTAACATCCGCCCACCTTATCACCCGATTCTCCTCCTAGAGCACTATTTTCAAACCAAACATTTCACAGAGTGGTTTGAGGAGTGGCAGCTCAATAGCATTTAAAGCTACAGACCCAGAATCAGCACGTTTGAAACAGAGGGTTTTATGGCATGCAATCTGTTTGGTATTTCAGCCAAACACTTCAGAGACATGTTTTGTATATGTCTGAGACCTATAATATATTGTTGAAAAATAGTTTAATAGGGGACCTTTAAAGTCTACACGCTGACATACAGTGGACAATGAAACATGCTAACACAAATGCACCATCTGTGTAGACACGTTCTGGATCAACCCTCAGTACAAGATCACCTTGCTGGAGGAGGATGACGACCCAGAGGACGATGAGGTGGCGTGCAGCTTTTTGGTTGCTCTCATGCAGAAGGACCGCCGCAAATACCGCCGCCAGGGTCAGGACACGCACACCATTGGCTTTGCTCTTTATGAGGTAAAAATCTGTTTTGTCCTTTTTTCTCTCTCATGGTTTATTCTTATGCTTGAGTTTTGTGTCAGGTTACATTTTGTTCGTGTCATTTATATATATTTTTTCTTTGTCTTTTTTTCTGCAGATTCCAGAAGAGGTAAGCAGAGCATTTATTACTACCGCCTATTTTGCATGTATATTTTACACTACTGCTGATCACATTTTAGTTTAAAAAAAACGTTCTTTGATTAAGATATGAATCCAATCCACATATTTAAGAACAAATAATATTGAGAAGTTTCATCAATGATTGACCTATTTCAATCCTCTTTAGTATAATTACTTCTCATATGGAGTACATTGCATTAAATGTAGTCCAAAGTAAAACTAAATATAAATCAGATGTGTTCGAAAAGCTTGGCAGTATTGTAAACTATTTCTGATTTCAATTAAATTGACCTAAAAACATGCACATGCATTTCAACCCATGTGTGTTCCCTGTGGCCCTTAGTACAGAGGCTGCACGAATGTCCATCTGAAGAAGGATTTCTTCCTGACTCATTCATCGTGTGCACGCTCCGAGACATTCATTAACCTGCGAGAGGTGAGCACACGGCTGCGTCTGCCCCCAGGGGAATACCTAATCGTCCCCTCCACCTTTGAGGCTAGTCAGGAGGCGGACTTTGTCCTCAGAGTCTTCACTGAGAAGCAATCGGAAACAGAGTAAGAGTCTTTTACATCATTTTAAATCCAGCGTATGTATTTGAAATGTAAATATCATGCTAATTATTTTTTATTGCAGAGAACTGGATGATGAAATCTCTGCAGATTTTGGAGAGGAAGTACGTAAAACTGAGACATGAATAAAATAGTTGTTGCATACTATACTTTATTAATAGCAGGAAATGACAAGGATTCTGAAATTAAACAAATGCCTTTTTATATTGTGGTTTCCTACAGGAAGAAGTAACTGAAGATGACATTGATGACTCTTTTAAGTCCATGTTCGCACAGCTGGCAGGAGAGGCAAGTTCTGAACAGATCTCCCTTACTGTTTTGTATCTTTGTTTGCATTTATATTTGTATCTTTGGTGGTCATTTAGATAATATATAATACTTAAAACATCCACATTGGTATCAGCCTTGTTATGGTGAAGACAGATGTCTCTTACATCGTGGCCTCTGTGATTTTTCAGGACATGGAGATTTCTGTCCACGAGCTTCGGACCATTCTCAACAGAGTCGTTACCCGGCGTGAGTTTATTATCAACAAATCATAGCTACTGGAAAGTGTACATGTTGGTAACAAATGTCCCACTACATTATTAGATTCCACTGTAGAGTGCACACCATTCATTTCCTGGACTGCCTGTTTTACAAGTGTCTGTGAAACTGTCTTTGCAGAACAGACTGTTTCAGATGTCTTTTCTTTCAGACAAAGATCTGAAGACTGATGGCTTCAGTATGGAATCATGCAGGAGCATGGTCAACCTGATGGACGTATCCTTTTTGATTTATCTGGAATGAATGAATGAATTAAAAGTCATAATCTTTATTTTATTTGAAACTAAATTAATTAATTGTGCACTTAGGATACTAGTGATTGTTTTGTGTGTGGTTTCACCCCTTGACCATGTGTTTAACAGAAAGACGGTAGTGCCCGTTTAGGGCTGGTGGAGTTTCAGATCCTCTGGAACAAGATCCGAAAGTGGCTGGTAAGAACGAAAACAATAAACACAATGTTAAAGGTCCCATGTCATGCTTTTCCGGTTATTACCCGTCCCCTTGTGTGTTATGAAGGTTTTTATGCATGTAAACGGTGTGCAGAGTCAAAACCCTCAAAGTACACCCTGTAGTGAGTAAAACTCTAACACTAAACTCTACCTCCCCAAAACGCCTCGCTGGAGATACGTCATTGTCCATTTGATTCTTCCGGGACGGGGTGACGTAACCCCGTCCCCGAACGAAATGGACCAATCCGTGGAGCCGTTACGTTAAGCCCCCGCTGATTGGTCCAAATTGACCAATCCACGGACTTCCTCACACACACACACACACAGTGCAGGCAGCTCTGCTGATTTCTCCTCCCTGGCTGCAGGCTGATAACAGACAGTTGGGATCGCGGCGAAATTCTCTCTGCAGACCCATTCTCACAGCGTTTATCAACCTTTTTCTTACTCAATATCAAGCCACACTTATTGTTTTTACTTCGGCTGTGAGTTTGTGTGTGCTCAGGATGAATTTGGCTGTGTTTCGCTGTGTATGCTAAACAAGGAAACAACACCTCCACGGAGCTCAGCGCGATTCACAACGTCCCGACCAATCAGAGCACACTGGGCTCACAGGGAGGGTGGGGGCTGGAGCTATTGGAGCTACAACGAGCCGTTAAAGGCAGAGAGTGAAATTCAGTGAATACACGTAGTTTACAGAGATGCTGTATGAGAAACCAATGTGAGTTTGGAAAATTGCACAATATAAATCTATTTTAGTAGACCTCAACAATGGAATTATGATCAGTGGAAATGGCCATGACATGGGACCTTTTAAAGGAACAGTGTTCACACTTAGATTCTCTGTATTTATCTTTCTGTTTCCATCCTCCAGGTCATTTTCAGAGATTTTGACCTGGACAAGTCCGGGGCCATGAGCTCATATGAGATACGTCTTGCTGTAGAGGGAGCAGGTATAGTGCTCTTGATGATAATTTCCACCATTATTTACTGTATACACACCCACAGATGAGAAGTGTAACCCTTTATTTTTATTATCGTTCTGTGTAGGTTTCAAACTGAATAACAAACTGAACCAGATTCTGGTAGCCCGGTATGCGGAGAACGAGATGGTCGACTTTGACAACTTCATCTGCTGCTTGGTCAAGCTGGAAGCTATGTTCAGTGAGTATTATTGTAAATTGTTATATTGTAAATGTATACTACAGTACATGTGTGCCGACTATTAATTATTGTAAAAACATCAACAGGGTCTTTCCAGCACTTCGACAAGGATGGATCAGGACAGGCTGAGATGAATGTAACGGAGGTAAGTTCTGTGGACAAAATATATTGTGATTTTCTTTATAGTCTTTACTATTCATCTAACATTTCTCTCCTGTTGCCAGTGGCTTTACCTGACAATGTGTGGTTGAAAGGACCATCTTCTCTGGAGCAGCAAAGGTACAGTGGCTGCAGATTGCCATAAACCTGGAGAAATGAAGATCCCTCAGCCTTAGCAACCCATCAATCCTTTAACACATCCCACCTCAGCGTACGTAAAGTAGTAAAAAAGCTTTTTAATAGGTGTAGTAAATCCCCCTGCCTTTTTTGGTCTGAGCACTGCTGATTACAGGCCTTAAGTTGGATCGGGTGTGGCCTGGTAGGTGGAGGCTAAGCCCCGCCTTCCACAAGACCAAAAAAGGCAGGGGGATTTACTACAATAGGAAACCAAAGTCCTATGAAGTCTTGTGTCTCCCGGCTGAATTAGGAATCTATGCAAACCTGCTGTATGAAGCAATCACTGTGCCACATGGATCTATCATCTGTAGCATGATTCCCTGCATGACAACAATCATTAGCTGTGATGTGCATTGTTGCAAGATTTTGGGTTATATTTTAGTTTCACTGTATGAATGTACTAACAATAAGTTCACTGCTCAAAATCTCACTAAAAAACATTCACTAGGAACATAAAAAAACTGAAGAAATCTGAAGAATTTTGTTTCTGTAAAGATTTAAAAAGGTGAAGTCTTATAGTTTCTCATGATCATTCTGCACTCAGGTTTCCATTTTGCCCTGATTGTTTAACAGAAAGATTTTGAAGAAGAAATGATCACCTCAGTTTTCAGTTTCATTGTTGCACCTGCAGACCTGTAGATGGCAGTACAGACCTAATATAATGTCAATGGTTTTTTTCTGGCATGATTCTAAAGTTTAGCTTGTTAATATATTACAAGTATTTGTATTGTATTGAAGTTTAAGCACATCAGCTTACTTTGTTTAGTTCTACTTTATGGTTTTTAATTTTGCACTGACAATTTAGTTGAAGGATGATGCTACTGAAGTTGCCTGACAGTAGTGTGAAATGGTGTATTTCAATTCACGCAAGGGACATTCATGGGGATCACATGATATTATATGCCTTATACACACACAATAGTGTTATAGACAGCGATTGAAAATATGCCAGTCATGTGTTTTGCGTGTGAATGCATGTTGTGCCTTCAATAAATATTTCCCTCATGGTAAATGCTTTCTCAGTTTGTTCATAACATGAATTTGACCCACATTGGCTGCTCAAACTCTCCTATACCTTTATGGTAAACTTAGTAAAATGTCAAACATGTTGAAAAGACTTGAGTCTATCACGTTAATTAACATAATCTAAATCATTTTGAGGAGAGTATGCTTTTTTTTAATATAGTTTACTGAAGACAAATAACACCTGATTAAAGCTGTTACTAAACAAATGCACTAGCAATTGCCAGGACCTTGGAGTATTCTCCCTCATGTTTACGTAGATGTGTGGGTATAGGGACCTTAATCCTTGTTCCTGTGGGGTTCCCATTGTCCTCAATAAGAACAACATTGTTTGAATCAAAGCGTGGAGTCATGCGATCTCCTGGCATTTTGTGTCCAACGATGAGCGCTTTCTTCTTCTGTCCTTTGATGGCAAGCAACACTTTGTCACCGACTTTTCCTATACCATTCTGGGTGTAGACATGGATCACTCTTGGGGCACGGTGATATGGTGTATTTCCAAGGGAGCTGTTGTCCACAACACGCACTCTAGTCATCTTTTGAATGGCTGCTGCAACAGCAGATACACTGAGAAGTCAAAGTATATTAGTTGATGATTACATATTTCCTTGACAGACCCCTCAGTCAGCAGTCTTGCAATAAATGATTTTCAAGTTTAAAAGTGGAATAACTTTAGACAAGTATCTTATGCCAATGTAGGGACCTGTTTGTGGTGATCATGTCATATACAGTTTAATGCCTAGGCTGCTCCACACAGTAAACAGTAAATAACGTGTGCTCTAATGTTACATTGGGAAATTAAATAATATGCCAAAGGTGCACATGATAAAGGATATTATTTGGTTTCAGTCCACAATTTTAATATTCGCACTACCCCTTTTTGATTGCTTTCTAGAGTCGTTTCCTGAAACCAGGACTGAAAAAAACTCAAGGAAACTATGAAAGCATTCACAGTGACTTTACTGGGACAAGGTGTCGCTATTATTAAAGTGGAAGAAAAATGGCCAACAAAGTTTAAGGTTAACATAAAAATACAAACAGAATGTTTTATCTCAAATGTTTCACTATTAGATGCAAAATGTATTCTATGGGTTTATGTAGCATATTGGATTATGACTGTTTTTACAACTAATTGTGATGTCATAAAATCAGGCTGAAACATGCAGTATTATGTAAAACATCCACATCTTCAAGTAGATTAAGATCAACCACATAGAATAGTTTTCCCCTACAGCAGGTGGACTTTATAACAGCCTTGTGTTGAGACTTTACTCATACATGATTTCTCACAATGAAGGTCAAACGTCAATAAACAAATAATATGTATGAGTGGAAGGGGACATTAACAAATTAATGATATGTTGAAGCATGCCACTGCTATTAGTGACTTAACTTATTTTACTCTCTCTGACGTGTTGAATAGTTTGTCAAAAATACCCAGACGACCCAGCTGATAAAATGTAACATCAAAGTATCTTACCTAAAAGTCCTCTGATGAGTTATTGACGATGACTCTACAAGGAGCCCAGCAAGGGATCTTGAAAGCAGGGAGAGAGCCATACTTGGAGCGAATTCTGTGGCAGCTAGAAACAGAAGATTTAGGTGGTTAGCTGCTAATAAGCTAAAGGGTTTGATAATGATAAGGCTAGCATTAGCTAACAATCACATGGTGGTTGGACTAGTTTTAATGATGGAGCATATCTGATGTAGTCTTTTCCCCAAATACATTAATTAGTGCATTGGAAAGCGTCAAGGATCAAGATTAAAATATCAATCGTGTTAATGTTACCCTTCTATCACGCTTCATGCCAATGTCAAAACCCGAGCGTCAGTAAAACGCGACCAACCGCATTTAGCCACGCAAGGTGATAAACGCATCATGCAAAAAACATATAACAAGGAAACAAATACCCCCCCCACTGCAAATACCTGCTACAATTTGTATTTATAAATGTTGATAGATGTCAAACGTTTGTGCTAATTAAAGTCAGAATACCTGAAATAACTGCAAAAACGGCTACCGGCCCCAGTTAGCTTGTTTGCTACTTTTTCTGTACGTCATATAAATGCGCTGCGGTGACATAGATATAGAAGAATATAGAAGAGAAAACGCCGGGGTTGTGGCGTACGCTTTAAAGATGTGTCATCTCTCTATCCGATCTACCTCTATATACGTCACTCTCTAAACCTCCAGTTGGACTGGTTGGGCTAGCGATAGTTGTTCAACTGGCTGACAGGCAGCCTTCGCAGCTGAGACTTGTCTATCATTACTCAGAGCACCGAGAGCGTGTGACCGACTGGCTATATCTGGTTAGCTTTAGTTGTCGTGGTAAGAGAGGTACAACGGAATATATTTAAGTGCAACAAAGAAGACAGTCGTTAGATATCCTCCACCTGTTATTTGCTACATCGAGGGGCTAAGTTAGCTAACATCAACGTTAAGGTTGACTGTTAGCTCGCATTAGCTAATTGTGTTCGTTAATGTCCCTGCTGCGTATCATTGCAAGGTAAGTTGAGTTCCTAATTTATTAACTCTGCGTATGTTAGTACTTTACAAAAAAACCTGTCTGGTTGTTCCCTAGAGCTTCAGAAGCTAACAGTTAGCTACTTCGCAGCTGGCACACTTAATAATAATTGCTGTCAGAACAATAAACAGTAAACATATCCCGTTAGCGCCAGGCTAACAGATCAACCGGTATAGAGCTGCGGCAGCAGTAATGTCAGTGAATGGTAATGTGTGCTACTTTCCATATCGGATGATAGAATTATAAACTAGGTAACAGAATGGTGAGAATTCGAGTTTTGTTTTGAAATAGGTTACTGTGACATTCATTATTATTTTATCGGTTGCGACACTCGAGTAGCAAGCCCTAGATTAAGTTCGCCCGCTGCTCCTTATCAGGAGCTTGGGTGTTTGGTTTGTTGTTTAGTCATGCCAGAATCGTTTCATGTTCTCTCAAAAAGTGGTATGGTATCTCCACAATGCTTGGTTGTCTTAAATGGGGGGATTGCTGGGAGTGCATTGACGTAAGGAAACAACAAGATATATGAGACAATGCAGCTATAGCTTTAATGTGCGCCTGCTTAGCGGTAGGTTTCAGGCCTGTGTTTTGACATACCTTTCAGATAACCAGGATAAGATCAGTCGTTCCTAACATACTTCAGTTGTCTAACGCGAGTAGTTGGGCAATGCTTTATTGAGAGAATCCCTTGACACTAACAGGTTACACGGCGTAAGAATAACATGAGCTTTGTGGTGGGCTGATGACTTAGCTGTGAGTGACCCTTATAGCTCCTTGTGAATAGCCTGTAAAGGGATAAACAAGAGCTAGCTAATGTCAGTCTTAATATTGTGTCCATTGGTCATGCTGTGGATCAGTGACATGAATGGAATATGATGTAAAGCCTTCTAATAAGATCTAATCAGTCTGTGTGGATTTCATACATAACTTCACTGCTTTTCCTACAGAAAGAATGTTCCATTAGTGGTTTTATTAATTTATAAACCACTAAATCAATCCATTTACCACAGTAATGGTTTGCGGTCTTTAGATGTAACTATTACAAAGATAACATAATTAATTAATTAGATTTATACAAAAGTGACGCTGATTTTTAAATGTGAAGCTGTTGCCTTGTTTTCCAATTAGCATGCAAGTCTTTTATCGTATCAACTGTGATTTGTTGTCTAATTTTAGTGCTGATATGATCTCCTCTCCACTGTTGAATGAATACGAGCTCACTGTAAGCTTATCTAAGTAAAACTGATTGTGTACTAGTGCTACACATTAATCAGTAAGAATTCCAACATTTCACTTGTTCCATAATTTCCTTTGTTTGCCTTTACATTCATACTGTGACATAATTATGAAACCATACTCTGATATCGTGTGTGGTAATCAAAGCTGAGGCACTGAGCTGTAGTTAATGATTTACAGGCTAATACCAACAAGACTAGTATGTGCAAATCTGTGTTATCAGTCATCAGGATTGTTGGAATTCACGCTATGTATGACTATGATTATCTTAAAGTAGGTTTGGAAAAGCAGCTAAAACATTCAAAACTATCTTAATACAGTTTTTAAACTTTGACCTACAGATTGATTACATTAAGAAATCTATGTGGACATTTATAATTATTGGATACATAGGCCACATTTAGTTGGTTCTCTCATTATCTTCAATTTACTCTTTTAATATGGTGCCAAATCATCACAAAAGTCCTCTCAGGGCACTTTTCATATATCTTTGCCAGCCTTGACCATACTCTGTATAATATTATTTACAGAGACCGCACAATAGGGCTTTATAAGGTGTCCACCTAATCCCTTTTTTTATTTTTTTGACATTGCAAATGCGTTTATCATAAACACTTTATAGAATGATGGAGACTTGATCAGGAAACATTTTAGGAAAGTGGTGGCATATTAAAGTCAAACATGCTCTTAGGTTCAAGGCTTTACAATGTGGAATGTTTTGAAGCAACACCTGTTATTATTGGTCACTGTGTTCTTGGTATTGGAGATAGAACTTTTGAACGGTTGATTACATCTTTTCATGCAAGACACACACAATAGTTTCCTATTTTAAGAGAGTGGTTTGCTTGAATTGCCTTATACATTATCATAATTTTCATATTATTATATTAAGGGATAATCATTTAGTTAACTTGATGACAAATATGAGAAACTGAGTTTCTCCAGAAAAAAAAAAATACAAAGCACCACTTTAAACTTTTGTTATCAGAGATTTGCTCATGAGTTTCTTATAAGTCATTCAGCCTATAAAACAAAAGTACTTATCTACTTAATAAATGCTTCCTTAGAAGGTTTTTGGTCATTATGTAGATGATAGACTACTAGTGTAAAAGTGTTGACCAAAACCAATTCAACTTACTGTTGGCACTTATGGCGCGTTTCCACTACAGCGCGGAGCACGGTTTAAGAGGGCTGTGACGTCAGCGGCCCGTTTTTGGTTGCGTTTCCACTTGGCCTAGTACCGGCCGGCGGGTCCTAATTCACAGTTTTTCTGGCCTCATAAAATCGTGGGTCTAGGGCCAGAGACAACGAGGCTGAGTCGGGCTGAGTATGCTAAACTAGAGAGAGAATCGCTGGCAAGGGGGCTACAACTACAACAAGATGGACATATTTGACCGTGATTTAATTGTAATACACGTTTCAAAATGATGCCGAAGTAACAACATACTGATACCGGTTAGTAAAAACCATGAATTAATGCTTTGACAAGTCTGCAGACAGACGGCAGGCGAAAAACCTTTTAAAATGCGTGTTTTCTAAATGGAGATTGGCTAAGCTAACGCAGTATATGCTCCGACCGTCCACACTCACAACAACGGCCTATACAGACATAAATAAAGCAGCGACTGTATTCACCATGACACAGACAGTCTGTGGTTTGTACTTGTTTAACTTTTGTCTAGTTTCTGAACAGATATGAGGAGCTGTGAGCTTGAGTGCTAACAGCTAACGGCTGTGTTGTTTTTCTGGGGTTCTCATTGAAGATGACGTCACGGCTCCGCCTACACTGCGTTACTATAGATACTACCCCAGTTCCTAAACTGTAATGGAAATGCGCCATAAAGTGTGCCAGTCCTAACGAGGCCTAGCCATACCGAGCGAGGCCGAGCGAGGCCGTGTAGTGGAAATGCACCATTAGAGTGTCCCTTTTTTAGTTGTATTTGTTTTTATTCAGTTTGGAAAGCAAGGTAGCACATCTCAATTTGTGGTTGTTGTACAACTGCTGACCTAATTCATAATCCACATTTTAAAGCATTTCTTCAAATATTTACCTTATGAAGATTTAAGGAGTCATGACTCTTGTATGCAAACTATAGATTTACAGTATGAATGTGTGTTGTTGCTTATGGTAGATGGGGAGCAGGCACAGTGTCTCAGAGACCATTATCTCCAAGCATTAAGATAGAGGTACACTTAAGAGTCTGTATTATCAGCATATAATAAACATGCAGCTGCCTGCATGGACTTGATTGTGCGAATGTATTGTAGGACATTTTCATTTAATTGGTCTAGGTAGACTCTTGGCTCTGATAATGTTTGTCTAACTAGAGAATAATACATTTTATACCACACAATTAGACAAACCCTATTGTTCTTGCCGCTTAAGCTGTAGAGCAAACAGCAAACTGACTGTAAAGCGAGTTTTTAAACGGAGAAGTATGGGATTGTCTCCCCCGCTGCCTTCATTCCCTTTTATGTTTGTATTTTGAAAATGTGTGCCAGACTGATGGTACCATAGCAACTAGCATCAGGTGGAAAGGTGGCACAATACTTCTGTTCCACTGAGTCATGCAAACACAGTGCTGATAAAAATGGTTCTTGATATAGAAAATATAATAATCCAAAAAGGAGTTGTAATCTAAAACTTTTCAGAAAGTCATATCAAATATATATATCTGTTCAGCCAACAGAAGCACATTCTAAATATCAGCAGAGTTGAGACCGAGTGGATTGGATTTCAGAAAACATCCACTTAGTGTTAAATGTGAGGGATAATGTTTGTCCGGAGTACTATTATGTCTTTCACTTTTTTTTGCTGCAATCATCTGCCTAAATTCTACTTGTACTTGTCAGGAATCATGGTTCAAATGATTGTATCACACTTTCACTAACCCTTGAACAGACATCTTGGATCCCTGTTTGGCTTGCATCATGCACAACAACATGCTGGGGCTTGTATATGCCCCAACAAAAGTAGTGTTGTTGAAAACTGCAACGCCAGCAAACAAACAGGGATGTACAAATCAAACAGGATTTAAGGCAATTAGTTTTGGTGCCGATATAACTTATGTCTGTTTAAGGCAGGGGTGTCAAACTCAATTTCATCGCGGGCCACAATCGCATAAAGGTTGCACTCAAAGGGCCGGTTGTAACTATATATAAATATGTAATATAATGTATTATATTACATTATTGCCTCTGAGTTGGATTATTATCGGATAGGATAATAAGTTAGTAATTAACTACGTCTGAAAGCAGAAGTCCAGGGCAAATAATTGCAAGTCTTTTCAGTGCACATGTCACTAAACGAGATGCATTGTGGGACATGTAGTTTATGGGCAACCTGCTTCTGTAAAGTGGCATGTAACCGTATAATAAACGTATTATATTCTTTGCAAGCTCTTGCGGGGCCACATAAAATGAAGTCGCAGGCCGGATTTGGCCCCCGGGCCTTGAGTTTGAGACCCCTGGTTTAAGGTGACCTGTTAAAGATTATTGTTAAACAAATGGCCAAGAAAAAAACTTAAAGGGAAAATCTAAAAACAAAGTGTAAACTAAATACCAGGACTGACAATATAATGCAATCCTGTGGTATATAACACCTTACAAAATGTATAGTCCTGAACGACCTGTTGACCTCGCTCTACTCGACTAATCAATGATAACCCTCGACCCTCGGATGCAAACGGTTCTAACAGACAATTATAAGGTTAATCTAAAACAGATAAAACTCAACTCATTTTCAATTTGAGTTTATGCTACACTTGAGTAATACTTGTGTGCGTGCCTCATGGTGGAATACAGTAAATGTTTTGGTTGAAATGTAATATTTCTAGATTGAATCCTGACATTTCTGTATACATTTTAAAGATTAGTAGTCACTTGAAACACAACACTTCCCATGACACTGACAGCCTTACTGTACCAACTTCTTAGGAGTTCTAAGTTGTTTTTGAAACTATCTTAAGTCCTTTTCAAGAGGTTGGTGTTGCATGTTAAACAGGCTGAACTGTGGCAATGGCTCGAGGATGTGCAGCAGTGTTGTTGAAGGCACAGGGGGGTATGTTGTGTCCTCCTTAGGTTGAGACCGGTCCATTTGAACCCTGCGGTCTCTATCGGCTTATTGTTCGGCTCTGGCTGCGTCCCTCTCCAGTGATGTCACAGCATTCCAGGGAGCGGATAAATGAGTTAGTGTTAGGGCAGATGAGCAGCATCGTGAATGCTGCTGCTAGTAGTGGGTCGAAGGGCACAAGGAGCCTTTAGCAGTGCAACTGTGCAAACACTCACCAGAACACCTACGCGCCTCCTCCGAGCCCTCGGTTCACTCAGTTTGTTGTAAAATATGACAACTCTTATGAGGCATAGCCTTCAGATCCAAATAGATACATTTGAATAAGATGGCGAAGGTATTTTTAGATTTCAGGGTTTTCTGTTCGTCAGTCAACTATCCTGCTGTTATTATACAAGTCAACTTAGCAAAGACATGTTCATGGACTCAGCGGTGCGCATGTGGTTACAAGTATTTATTGGATGGCTTGTGTTTTAACCAAGCAATACTTTCCCCCTGCACCTAATATTTGAGAAGACTTAAATTGGTCATTTAAGTCCATTTCCTGACCTAAAGCATCCCTGTCTGAATCAATGAAAGTGAACCTTAGTGTTGGTAGGAATCTTCAAGAAGTCTTTTTTTAAGCCTGGAGATCTATTGTACAGTAGCAAACTTCATTTGTGCTGTTCGCCAAGGCAGAAGAAAAGGTTGATATTAGGGCTGCACGATATATCGTGTCGTGACGATAATCGCGATATGCGCATGCGCGATATTCACATCGCGTAGACGTGCGATTTTTAGGACTTGCGATATTAAGTAGGCAAATTAACTCAAACACGTCATGTTACAATTATTTTGCTGCTTGCTACAAAAGGAAAACTTGCGCGGCTCTCATGTCAGGGGTACTTGAGTGACATGCAGGCTCTGCATGCACAGCAAACCACCAATCAAATCTCCAAAGCAAACGGACCCGGTGATTAAAGGTAAAAACACTGAATAAAGTAGTTTCATGTGTTTCTCCAGGGCAGTTTGGCGCTGCTAACCGAGCTAGCTCAGCTTGTTGCTCTGATAACTTAAGATCCAGACGTCCGTGACTAAAATCCTTCATCCGGTTAAATATAGTTAAAAAAATACCAATTGTATAGCATTAAAGTTCAAGAAAGGATGGTTTGCAGAAACAAATACGGTCTTTTCTTCAATTCCTGTATGTTTTCATATCGCAATATATATCGCAGGGGGGGAAAAAATCGCAATGTCAGTTTTTTCCAATATTGTGCAGCCCTAGTTGATATCCTATCTAGGATTAAATGTGTTTGTTTGTGTGATTCTTTTACAACTAGTCTGAATGCTTAAGGCTGGAAATACCCTGCTGAAGTCATTGGGCTTCTTGCTTTAGTGTTGGGATCAGGATGCTGTTATAAAGATATATTTCTCAAAGGACTTATTACTCCTCATACAAGATTCATGCTTTGTCTATGTTTTCCGTCATTACCCGTAAGGTAGCTTGATTCTACTGGAATTATTAAGAGACCGGAAGGAAGTGTTTTAAGGTACATCTGAACAGGAAACATATCTTGATCTCGCTTAAACAGGTAACAGTTAATGGTGTGAAAAAGAACTGGCAACCAGGTGTATAGAGTATACAGTGTGACTACAGTTATTTTACTTACATTTGGGACAAAGTTGACAATGTGTCAATTGCAGATATGTTGGCCACTAACAAGGAACAGACCGCATATAATGCTTTAAAACATGGAGACTCGGCTGTCTTGCATGTGGTCAAAAGCAATGGCATGTGACTTGTGACAAGACAGAAACGTCAGCATTAGTATAAAGGGAAGGAAAAAAAGAAATGACAATGTACAAATATTGTAGAGTGTTGTGAGTGTGTGTTTTCTGTCTCCTGTCCATTTCTGTTGCACATGATAGATAGTGTGACCTATTATGCTAGACTGCAAAACCATTAATCAGCATACTGAGAAGAATCCTAATAAGGTTGTCTCTTCTTTACAGATTGTCAAAATGTTGCATTGAGTAATGCACCGAGTGTTGATATTCATGATGGTGGTCTGGGGGGCGCACGGATGCCCCAATTCAGGCAACTGCCCCCCGACCCTGACGCCCAATTCCACCTCCAAGGACTTCTGTTACTCCGCCCGAATTCGCAGTACAGTGCTGCAAGGTTTACCTTTTGGGGGGGTGCCTACAGTCCTTGCCCTTGACTTTATGTGCTTTTTGGTGAGTCTTTCTTTAAAGTGTCAGAATTGAGGTAATGTCTTTTCAAATGAAAACACTCTCAAGGAGTTACGTAACCTTTCTCTGTAATGTAAATAAAAGGACTAGATGTGTGTGTTGACAGTCACTGTTTATGTTGTACTTGTAGGGGCTGCTGGTTGTATTCTCCTTCCTGAGAAAAGTAGCATGGGACTATGGGCGCCTCGCTCTGGTGACTGACGCTGACAGGTAACTAGAAAACATTGCACCCTTAGGTCCATATCACAGTTTCTTACATGTTATACCTGCTGAATTCACAGCTAATAATTGTTTGGAAAAGTTAACTGTTTGGAAAAGTGTGTTGACAACAATAACCAACCTAAACAATTTTGTTTGGTAAAAATATATTTTTGTAAATTGTTCCTCAAATGTTTGATACCTGTGTTAACTTAAAATGTATCCCCTCTCATCAAAATGCTTTGTTTAACATCTTGATCCTTATGTGATGTCAGGCGTTTTACAGTTGCACGAGCAACAGGCATGCTAAGGTTTAAATGGGACTTTCGGTTGAGCCTGTGTGACAAGCAGCAAGTCAGGAGCCTGAACCCAATGCCTCTGCGCGACACAGAGCCATTGTTAGGCATTGATATGATTTGCCTTTATTTAGAAAAGTGTTCTGTGGTCAACAGGGACACATTATGAAAGAAGCCTTGTGGCTGCTGACCCCTATTGATTTATCTGTGAAACACACGTGTTATCAGTGTTTGATCAGTAATTGGCCCTTGGTGGCTATTCATACTAGATGCTATATGACCCTAGACTATTCAGTGACCTTATTCTAAAGGGTAACGTTAGTTTTGTGAAGCAAGCATCACAAGGGTGACACTGCAGACAGGAAGTCTGTCAGCAGTTTCACTTTTGATGGCAATAATGCACTCTGACATTGTCATGCTTTGCCACTTGTGTCATGGTCTGTTCACCTTGAGATAGAAAGGACAGACTGCTGTGGCAATAAGCCTGAAATGGAAAGAAACTAAACCAATGAAACCATTATTTGATGTCGTATAACCCTTTTTTTTAAAAGATATTTTTGGGCCAGTGTGCCTTTATTGATAGATTCATTGTTGAAAGGGGGGAGACAGAGGTGAGGACATTGCCTGACATTACCGCGAGTCAAACCCCCATACTGGGCAGCAGAGACCCCTTATGGGCCGCCAGCTGTAACCACTGAGTATCCGGCAGCCCAGAAACCATTATTTATTCAAATCAATTTACCGCACCACTTAAAAGCCACTGTCTGCATCCAAGCCCAGTGGAATGTGGATTTTTTATATAATTTGAGACTGATGTCTGCACGCTGATCAAATAATAAGAATGGTTATGGAATCGGTCAACATGGGCTGATGCAGTGCTCCTTTTTATACTTTTTAAATCATGAGATGAAACAGGATAACCAAATTGGGGAGAGAAGAAGCTCATCATTGCTAAAGACCTCTTTGACTGTAAACCCTGCAAAGTATGTGACACAGTGCTCCATCACCTACATCCCCCCGCTGAGTCTGTGGGATCTTGCAGCTCCACTATTTTTGCAGCTGCATGTGAGCAGAGAACGGAGTTGCAGCGTGGTGGGAGGATGGGAGGGGGGTGGCAGCATGGGACACTTTGTAACAGACAGGAAATGTAGTTTGTCTCATGACAAAGGCCTGATTGCGATCAGCGCCTGTCATACATGTTATATCTGAAAAGTAAATATAACCTTTACTAGGTAGACTTATCGATCATCAAAAATGGGGTGTGAGTAAAATGTGTCTGTCTAGCTACTGAGGACATGATGCTCAATTTAAATAAATGAAGAGTTTATTATAGCATAGGCCATAAATACCTCTAGATTTCTGTATTATGTATAGCAGAATGAATAGCACCCTTCATTGGTATGCCTGTGGAGTAATATGCTTCCTCAGTGTTTCTATGAACCAGCACCCTAACTGGCCAACAGGGCCATTCCCCCTTAACTAAGCTGAATGGCTTTGTTTTGCTTTTATTTTCACCAGAAGAGTGGATCAACGATACAGTCGGCTGGATGATCGGGAATAGTATGTTATCGCTCCATATCGTAGACTCACTGCCTGTTTCTTCTCTCCTTTCCTCTCACTGTAGTTAACCGAACTCATACCTCTTGTCCACTCTGCCCAGGCCGCTGTGGGTTTCCGCCTGTTTTCCACTCTTGATGGTTTAGTTTTTTCCCCCCTTGTCCTCCAGAAGTCTGCCAGTGCCAGGCTCTCTAATCATTCTCCCTCTCCTCGTCACTGTTGTACGTCTGCTCTCGGGTGCGCCTGTCCTATCTCGCTGTCCTAATCAGATCTGTGTGTGCTAATCTCTGTGTTGACCCCCTTCTGAAGCTCCGACTTCTTCTCTGTGAGCGCAGCGCATGAGCCGCACAGGCAGGATGCTTACGGGGAGAGGTAATGTTACGTAGATAGTAAACAGGCCCTGACACGGTGCAGCTACAGTAAACCCTGTGTACTTAGATCTGAGAGGAACCAACCTGACTTCCCCTAGGAATGTGCGAGAGGAGGACTGGCGGTGGATTACAGCCTCAGGCTCTCTCCTCATTCCACTAGAGATCTCTTAGAGCCCTGTGTGATGTCTTCCTTTCATGGAGTATTGAATCCTCAACTTTGTTCGAATTCCAGCAGTGCCTGGCTCATTTTCATACTCTGTTATGATTAAATTGACATCACCTCCCTGGGGAGTGCAATCAAACATATATAACAAGGCAGGGGTGTCAAACATATGGCCCTTGGGCCAAAACGGCCTGCCAGAGTGTCCAATTCGGCCTCCAGGATGACTTTGCAAAGTCTAAAAATTACAGAGAAGACTTTAACTGCAATTTATTTTGTATGTATAGATTTACAAGGCAGGGGGATAACTTAACCCTCTTCCTTAATAATTCCCACTGTAGCTTGTATGGTGGTGTGTCAGTTCAGGTGGTCAGGATAACTACACAGATGTGGAAATAATAATAATAAAGCTTTATTTATACAGCACTTTTCATACGGCAGGTGCAGGTCAAAGTGCTTTACAAAATGGCACACATAACAAATTAAAACAAACAAGAAATTCCCATTCGATCAGATGTTAAGACCTTTTTTTAAACGGGTAAAAGATATGATTATAAAAACGATAAAATAGATAATGTTTCCCTCGGAAAAATACAGGAAGACGAAATGAACTGATACAACAAAATATTAAACAAAATGAATGTAAAATAATTTCTAGATCTTGACAATTTGTGTTGATCATTAAGTAATGTTGCTCAGTTCCAGATACCTGTGACTAAATGTTGTGTGCCTTTGTAGATACACTGTGATCTGTAAGTTGTAATGCACAAATGATGAACTGAGGCATAAAATGGTTGAAATTGCACTTATTTTTCTTAAGAAATGTCAGGTTGTTCATAATATTTTGTACAAACATAGTGAATTCAATAGTGCACTAAAACAAAGGGAACAATTAGGAGTTATTTGTAGTTTATTATGCTATGACTTTATTGGTCCGGCCTGCTTGAGACCAAATTGGGCTCTATGTGGCCCCTGAAATAAAATGACAAACTCCATCCAACTGCCTCTTAATGATCACTGGGTTTCTGCTGTTTTCTGTGAGTGTTCTTCTCTGTAGAGCTTTGCCTTCTAACTCTTTATCACAACCTTTCCTCTGACAGTGATGGTGTACTCAACCCGTGTAGAGTAGACTCCTAACGCTGCATGAAATGTGGCTGCAGAGATTGAGCCTGTGCTTGACTGGTTAACCAAACCCTAATCCTGTGGCCAGCACACGCAGGTTAAACGGGTGAATCTCTCCAGTCCATTTCAGGGCGTGTGTGTGTGTTTGGTGTTGTCATCTTTTCTACACTAATAATTATTCCACTGTCCTGGGACACGCAGTACTAACATCCCTGTATGGTACATGGTGTTAGTTAGTTGTGTACAATCCTGCAAATACTATGTATTGTTTTTTCTTCACACAGTGCCACTACCATGACATCAGATGCAACAGAACGCTACGAACGCCTCACTTCAGTTTCCAGCTCTGTCGACATCGATCAGAGAGACACTGTAAGAATGAAATTTTTCTTAAAAGATCAAATCTGATGCATTTTCTTTCATTCAAAATACACTTTGGTTCCTTGTGATAACTGTCACATCTTCACCTCTCTCCTCTCTTTCCTTTTTAGGGCTTCTGCTCCTGGCTAACTGCCATCTTCCGCATCAAGTGAGTCAACCTTCTCAAGGCTTATTGGAAATAATAACAGTTGGTAAAACATTGATTCAACTGTATATAAAATGTTTCTGTTTTGTTTTTTTTCAAATTGCTGTCTTTTTGTGTGGTTTCTCTGTAGAGATGAAGAGATAAGGGAGAAGTGTGGGGAAGATGCGGTCCATTACCTTTCCTTTCAGCGACACATCATTGGCCTGCTGGTAGTGGTGGGCGTGATGTCGGTGGGCATCATCTTGCCTGTTAACTTCTCTGGAAACTTACTTGGTGAGTGGTTTGGAATAAACTATAAGGGGATACTCTTAGTTAAAAGTTAGTCTGTTAATGTTTGACTAGGTGAGTCTGCCTTGTCACTGAATTTTTTTTCCTCTATATTCTTTCTTTTTCTCGTTTGTATTTTACTTTACATTACATTACATTACATGTCATTTGTTAGACGCTTTTATCCAAAGCGACTTACATACATTCAGTACTGTGGACAATCCCCACAGGAGCAATTTGGGGTGAAGTGTCTTGCCCAGAGACACAACGACATGCTGACTGCAGTGGGACTCAAACTTGCTACCCCCTGATTCGAAGTCCAGCACTCTAGCCACAGCCACCCCCCCTTGCGGCTATTATCTATTTTGTGTACTTCTGTTGGGCTGCAGATAAGCAGCACCAATGATGATTGACAAGTGATTATCATATTTCTTCTTTTTTTTTCAGAAAACAATGCCTACAGTTTTGGGCGAACCACTATAGCAAATTTGGATTCAGGGTGAGTAATTCTTGTACCTTTTACTTTATACTTCTCGAGATTCAAGGCTTCGTCGTGCACATAAGCAACAGTGCTCCTCCAACAGTGCAACATATATATATATATATATATATATATATAATGTGTGTGTGTGTGTGTGTGTTGCACTGTTGGAGGAGCCTGTGACTTAAGTTTTTCATTGCCATATCTACACTGTGTATATATATAAAAAAACGGATACAATAGTGCAAGAGAATGTTTTGAGATGTGCAAGTAAATACAAATAAAATAGAAATAGTGCAAGAAGAATCTATATACAAGTAAATGGAATATGATATATTAGATAAATAATTAGCAAGATGCAAACAGATGAATGTTCATGGATATTCTTACAGAGTTCAGGTGTTTATCAGTCTTATGTCCATGTGGAATGAAACTGTTAGCCTTGAGTTGAGTCTTCACTTCCTAATGCTGTGTCACTAAATGCTTTCCCTTTATTTCCTCAGAAATGCACTAATGTGGCTGCACACCATCTTTGCATTTCTCTACCTGTTACTGACCGTGTACAGCATGCGACGGCACACCTCAAAGATGCACTACAAGGAGGATGACTTGGTGGGTGTACAATGTCTGTCACATACACTCCCTGTACACACAGATCGCAGGGAGAATTGTGTTGCTAATTTCCTCCCCGTCTTCATTTCCCCGCAGGTGAAACGCACTTTATTTGTCAATGGGATTTCCAAATACGCAGAGGAGGCTGAGATAAAGCAACACTTTGAGTAAGCAGTCTTCAGGATCACTGATATTTCACGACACCGATAATCCGTATGATCCTGTTAAAAGCAGCTGTCTTGTGCTGGCCCATACGATCACACAATGACAGGCCTATTTGACTAATTGTCCATAATAAAAGCCAGATGAGCAGGATCATGCTAGTCATGTGTCAAGAGGGTCAAAGACTGAGGAGGGGGTGTTTGGCTCAAGATAAATAGCATCAGTGAAAATGGTTTCTTTGTTCTTTTCTGCAAAAATAGCCACTATGCTTTAGTACAGAAGAAACATTGTACAGGGAAAAGAAACAATTCTAAAAGCATTTTACTGTTTGTGGCTGTTGCATTCATATACTCTTTGAGTAGCTAATGTTATGGTGGTAGAGATATGTCATCTTTAGTAAATACAATTTGCCGTTGTCAGGAATGTGTAAGTTGAACTCTATGCCCTTCTTCAGGCAGGCGTATGAAAACTGCGTTGTACTGGAGGCTCGTATCTGTTACAATGTGGCCAGGCTGATGTACCTCAACTCTGAAAGGTAACAACAATTAACATTTAGTGCAATACGTGTGTGATTGTTTAGCAATTTTGGATGACCTTGGCTTGTTTAAGTGAAGTAGCCCTTCCTCAGTTTGACACAGCTGATTTTATGTGTTTGCATACAGGAAGAAGACGGAGCGCAGCAAGAAATTCTTTATTGACCTGCATGCCAAGGAGCACATTACCACCATGATCAATCCAAAACCATGCGGACATCTTTGCTGTTGCATTATTAAAGGCTGCGAGCGGGTAAGACTCGTATTGAGGGACTGCGGATGGAAAGTAGCTCAAAGCTAAATCCGGCATATTTACGCTTGGCACATTTATTGTTTTCAGTGTTCATTAATGTGCAATGTCCCTACCAAATAAACGATTAAATAAATATATTGTAGCTATATATCAGAGCAACACACTCCTGAACCGTGTTAACAAGCTGAAATGTACAACATCTTTGGGGGAAAGATAAAGAAGGCATCTTGTTGAATTTACAGTACACAATACACCAACAAATCTATAATATATTATATTATTATGCTCACTACAAACTAACTCCTCAAAATAAACATTCTTCATTTTAATGCAAGTGTTATATCTAAAAAAGAAAGCTGTAGTTTGAGTGGATTTCGACTACATTAGAAGATAACCATGCAGTTGACCGTGTTTTTATTTAGTGTTATTCATTATTAATGGAATGTAAATGGCTTTTCCTTTTTAAAGGAAGAGGCAGTGAGCTACTATACCAAACTGGAGTCACAACTGAAAGAGGACTACAGGAAGGAGAAAGAAAAGGTGAACAGGAAGCCCCTGGGAATGGCCTTTGTCACCTTCCAGAACGAGTCCATCACTGCCATGTAAGTACATTTTACGTGGGGTAATATTTATGAATACACATCTGTGACGTTTAGTTTAGCAGATTATTTCACCCTCGGTAAAGTCTCTACTTTGTTTTGTTGTAATTTCATTTTCAGAATCCTAAAAGACTTTAACGCCTGCAAGTGTCAGGGCTGTCAGTGTCGCCGGGAGCCCAAGAGCTCTCAATTCAACGGCAAGCTCCACACACACAACTGGACCGTCAGCTACGCCCCTGATCCACAAAATGTCTACTGGTGAGAACACATTCAGGTCATATCTTCTGTCTGACAACAGGGCTAGATAAATAAAACAAAGTTTCAATACGATATAACTCCACACATTTGAAAGGGTGGATGCATTTTGGCAGAAGGAAGGCAAGTACCCAAAGGGAAATCTACAGGCGCAAACTTGATTTGTATTGCTTGGAATAATCACTTGAGACTTTCTCTCTCAAGATGACAAAGGATTTTTTTAGCTGTGGTGTCAGATTACCGCGCAGCTGTGTCCATAACTGCGGGTCATCGCCCAGAGTCAATCTAACCGCTGCATCAACTCCATCCCACAGGGAGCATCTGTCAGTGGGAGGAGTCATCTGGTGGCTCCGCTGCCTGATCATCAACATTGTCCTCTTCCTCCTCCTCTTCTTCCTCACCACCCCGGCCATCATCATCTCCACAATGGACAAGTTTAATGTTACCAAACCTGTGGAGTACCTAAATGTGAGTCTTTCCTTTATGAGTGCAATCAGTTCAGGTGTTCTTATCTTTGCCGAGCGTTAAGTCCATGCCATCACATCACGATTTAGGCACTCTCAATTATTAATACAACATGTCCACCACTCTCTGATCCGTCCTCCAGAATCCAATCGTCACCCAGTTCTTCCCCACCCTCCTACTGTGGTCCTTCTCCGCCTTACTGCCAACCATCGTCTACTACTCTGCCTTCTTTGAGGCCCACTGGACTCGGTATGTTTGTCTGGAGTCAATAACTCGGCATATATTTATATATATGACAGTCAATTATGTATTCCTTTTTGAGGTTAAGTGTGTTCTGTCTGCCCTGTTTCTATTTGAAAGACATGTCATTATTTCCTCTGGCCTTACAGGTCAGGAGAGAACCGGACCACAATGCATAAATGCTACACTTTCTTGATCTTCATGGTCCTGTTGCTGCCCTCTCTAGGACTCAGCAGGTATGTTTTTGACTTCTTCCCTGCAACATAATGAAATGTGAACCTGCAAATGAATTCATCTTGGGCGGGCTGAGTAATTGAGCTGATGCCTTTCTCTCCTTTTGTCTTTGCAGTTTGGATGTTTTCTTCCGCTGGCTTTTTGACAGAAGATTCCTGGCAGATGCTAAAGTTAGATTTGAGTAAGTAGGAACGTTCTCTGGATGTTCAAATGCAACACTCTAGCGCTTAGAATAAAGCAGAACAGGATGAAATATTTGCACCGTAACCATTTAAATACCATAAATAGTTCAAATTGTTTTATAAAATTACAATTACCAATACAACATAAATCATGAAAAATACAGAAATAACAAAAACAATAATAATAGTTCACATTTTGTATGAAAAATAATGATTTAATACTGTTTTTATTTTATCCGTTTAGCCAAACCCCCTCTAGGTATAATACATGTAAATGATTTTGACATTTCATTGGCCTCTGCATAATGCATTTTCAAACCTCAACGTAATTCTGACTTCAGTCCTTTTGTGATGCTGACTTTTTCTTTCCTTTCAAGGTGTGTGTTCCTTCCTGATAATGGAGCCTTCTTCGTGAATTATGTCATTGCGTCTGCGTTCATCGGTAATGCCATGGATCTGCTGCGGATCCCCGGTCTGCTCATGTACATGATCCGCCTCTGCCTGGCTCGCTCTGCAGCAGAGAGGAGGAACGTCAAGAGGGTGAGTGTGACCTCATCATTTATGGGTCCATGCAGGGCAATATATATTGATAGTTTATAGATATCGTGACCGAAGACTACATACCGTCTTACATCTTCCATATCACAATATCTCAAAAGTGGTAACTTTACTGTAATGGCTGCATTACAATAAAGTGAGGACATTTTTCAGAAGTTACATGAGTTATTATTTGCTTTTTCCAACTTACAGTCTACGCATTACTAATGATTATTTATCAATAATCTCACTGTGTGAATATTTAATGACGGCGTCAATAGTCAACCCTACAACAACATCGGAACATTTCAAATTGAGTATTTGATCAAAAACACTACGATATTGTATTTTCTCTTTATAGCCAAGTCATTAGTCCATGACCTATAAGGAAGTTTGGTTTCAAAATAAATCCCTGCTTATAACACATTCGAACACAAACATCTTTTCTGGAACTTAATGGGGGAATTAAATGTCATAAAATACGAAAAGAACGGGAAGTTCTACTTTGACATTAGGTTAGAAATATTTATGTTTTTTTTATCAGATGCACTTGATCTTGCTTGTGAAAAAGGGATTTTGGATTTTCTTTTAATTCTATAATTGTGTCTGTATAGCACCAAGCCTATGAGTTTCAGTTCGGGGCAGCCTATGCCTGGATGATGTGCGTCTTCACTGTAGTAATGACCTACAGCATCACCTGCCCCATCATTGTCCCCTTTGGTGAGTTCTGCCATTTATTACCCCCGCTGGGGGTCTCTGCTGTTTCACATCAAGATAGTGTGCTTATCAAATTACTGTTAGAGAAACAGACGGAGGCCGGGAGCATTCAGTGGCTCTGTGATTCATACAGAAGCTTATCAGCGTGCCTAATGAGATTAGTTCCGCTAATTGTGTTGTCCCTTCTCTGTGCAGGGCTGATGTACATGCTGCTGAAACACCTCGCGGACAGGTACAACATGTACTACGCATATCTGCCGTCCAAACTGGACAAGAAGATCCATTCTGGAGCAGTCAACCAAGTGGTGGCTGCTCCTATTCTCTGTCTCTTCTGGCTTCTGTTCTTCTCCACTATGCGCTCCGGTAAGATGAGGACTCCATCTACAGGCCACTAATGTCCTAACACATGCCCACATTTATATGCACACTTTTATCCAAAGCATACGAAGTACATACAACTGATGAATCCCTCCATTTCTTTCCCCAGGATTTTCAGCGGCTACATCCATGTTCACGTTCGTAGTTCTGGTCATCACAATCATTATCTGCCTCTCTCACGTCTGCTTCGGACACTTTAAATATCTCAGTGCTCACAACTACAAGGTAAGAAAATCATCCTCCTGTGCATATTATTCCCGTTTCCTAAACTCCGCAGTATTTGACACTAGTATTATACTCAGCTGCTTATGTCAAATGCATGTTTTTCCTTCCTAGATCGACGACCAGGAGATAGACGGGCAGTTGGAGAACGGGCGTCCGCCATGCGTTACTACAACCAACAAAGCAGGAGTATGTATTCATTTATGTTTATTTTATAACAGTATAAGCCTCAAGATCAAACAGTGGAATGAGATGGGACATACTTCTCAATTTCATTATTGTTTTTTATATTTTTAACAACTTTCAAAAGTTTCTGTTCATTCTATCGTGCTAAACTGGCTATAGGGTAAACTATCAGTAACTATGTGTCAATAGAATTCACTTTTTTGTTGTATGGAGATCTTAACACGAAGCAGAAAATAATGAATCTTACTTTTTCTCCCCTACAGCAAATGTACATAGCTGAGGTTCTCCAAGACCCAAATTCAGAGGGGGGGTCAGGCAGTGGAGAGGAAGATGGCCAGGGGTCCTCGCAGGACGAGGAAATAATCAATGTGGAAAATGGCTTGAATGAGGACTTCCAGTCTGGTGAGGACAGCCTCATTGATAATGAAGTGCGACACTGATACTGACTGGAACAGTTAAAAACCCCCTAAGTTTAACTTGAGGAGTGCACTGAAATTATGTGAATTTAACTAGGAACTGAACCAACAGTTCTCCAAAGCATCTCAACCTCCATCGAGGGACTTTACACTAACCTAAGCACACTGTCTACTAAGGATTTAATGGATTGTCGCTCAAGGACTCTTGCATTTCCTTCACTGGATCTCACCAAACCACATCTTCTGTCTGTGTACCTGCAGAGGGAATCTACTCTGAAAAGGCAAGGACAGCGACATGACGTCCTTCTGCCCCGAAATAGCTGAGGAAAGCCCCAAACACTGCACATGGACTCATTAAAGAAAGACACTAATGCACAAATGAAGCATAGTTTGCCTTGTTTTGTAAGGGGACTGATATTCTGTGTGTATTTCCCTAAAAATATTGCACTTGAAAGAGAGAACCTGTCCTATAAGCTCTACTTTCACTAAGGTACTGTAGTACAGCATGCCTTCAAAGTTCAAATGGTGGAGGGATGTTCCTAAAATCCTTTGCCAGTATTTCTAATTGTCTGCACTAAATGCTTCCCCTGAATAAGCAGCTGGATTTGAGACGAGAAAAAGTGATTTCACACCAGACAGCTTGGTCCGTGCAAATGTGATGTTCTCAAAATAGTTCTTCCAATTCCATAAAAGCCTTTAGAAAATAAACAAAGAAGAAAGAAATTGCTACTAACACTCCTGGATGCTACGACACTGTACAGCTACAAAACTCTGGATTTGTAAAATAGCCTTTTTTTTTGACATGGTATTTATTTGTAGGCATTTTAATTTTAAATGCTATCAAGCTTGATACATCCCTAAACTTTGGAAGAATATAACCCATATCTTGGCACACTACATTCATATTTTGTTCATTCTCTGAGCCTGTGTTGGGACTGCTGTTAGACTGCTGCTACTGATGTGGCCCCGGTGAAGGGAACCCCCCCCCCCCCCCCCCCCCCCCCCCCCCCCCCCCCCCCCGGGGCCGCAGCTGGAGGACTGGAGGCCCGGAGCCTGCTGATCCTTCTGTGATGCTCAGAGGATGAAGAGAAAAGCCTTTTTTTTTTTTTTTTGTTCCACTTCATATGATACTGGACTGGTTCTCTTAATTTGTTGTTTTCCATTTGTATCTCTTTGTTCACATGTTTACGTCTTCATGGAGAGATTTAGAAATTAGCATTGAGTGTTCTACTGATAGTTTTATGAATAAGCTAATCTATATCTCATCACTCAGTCTTCTGCCAGGTCCTCTCCATTTATATCATGTAGGTAGCATTTTGTTCCAGTTGTCATCCAGCATTGTTATGGTTTCCCCATTTGCAATTACTCAGAGTTGTATAATGTTTAGCTCAAATTGTGCAATTTCTGGTGACAACTTATCAGATCTTAGGCTTGGCTGATTAACTCTCAATACTACTATGCCTCCCCCATTGAAAGCAAATTGGAAGATATATGCATTATGTTGCTTCATGAGTTGTTATAAAGTGATAAAGTTTGCCCTCTCTATTGTACATTCCATTTGCAGATCCAGTTACTAGCATTGTCAGGCCTCCGTCAGAGCTATAGTAACTTCCAGATCTGCCTCAGCCATATCAAACAGCTTCTTTTCAGGAACCAGGTAGACTCGGACAACATCACAAACACAATTTAACAAATTATAATTTAAAAACAAAGTGCTTACACAGTTAGGACCTTACTCAGGATTTATCAAGCTTTTTGTTTTTGTCATTTCAGTTTTTCCTAAGTAAAGATGACACCATGAGCTTCCCTAAAAAAAGGATTGTTGGTAGAGCAAGGCTGCAGACAAAGCACCACTATAGTGTGTCACTGTGGATGAATTGTTGTTTTTGGGCCATTTATATAAAACTTATTATCCAGATGCTCAGAGAACCAATGTGGGAAATGTGCACTAATCTCACTTTCACTTGTATGATTGACAGAGAAGGGCCCGCCCCCTGTGGGTGTAATGATGACAATGGTGAACCTAAAATGTTTCCATAATTTTTCCATGGGTATATTGGCACCATATATGGGTAAATTATTATGGTACTAACAAGAGAGTTGTTTGACACCCTTGAGTCTGGTGCTCTTCTAGTCATGATAAGGTGATTTTATTTTTATACCTCTTCATTTTTATACCTCTGAGATGTCATGAAATCTCTAAATGTGTCCTGTCTAAATCTAAATCCACTGCCCGGCTCGGAGAGAAATACCTAAAAATCGTATAATGTCTAATATCTGCAGTGTTTAAACGTTGAATGTAGGTTCATTTCAAACCTTTTGGTAAGTTAAGTGCGATCGCTGTATTTACACAGCTTCAACAGGAGGGTTCACTATAGCTAACCAGCAATTAAAGTGTCATACTACAGAACTTGATTGTGTCCAGTCCCATATCATGGCATTTCATTTGTCAGTCTGCAACGATTTCCACTACTTTTTCCAAGTCTAGGATCCTCATGAGTCCTTTTATTTTAGATTATGTTTATAAGATCTGTATAGACAGTGGGAAATGGATTGTTTTTCTGAAAAGCTAGGCACTTTCTAATAGAAGTTCTCAGCTTGTTCTACTGTACCATGTACTCAGAATGGGTAGTAAAATGTCTGTGTATCAAACTGTGCACAATTAGAATGTGTCTTTGTGTGCTTGCCTTTTATAGTTTTACATTTTTCTAGGTAGGAAGAGTAACAATAGCAGATCTCTGCAATTGACAGTCTCATTTTATTCTTTCCAAAGGGCCGTCTGTGCTACAGATATATACTGTGTATATCTGTGCTCCCAACCCCCCCCCCCCCCCCCCCAAGCTCTTTGAACAATAAATCTGTATTTAATCAAGTTTGACAACAATAGTTTCATTTTAACTATCAATTATTATAATCACTAAAAGATGAGAAATAACCATTTGATTGACTGATTAATTCACTTAAGGGTTTCGCTGCTACAGACTTACTTATTCTAGTATGACCAGTAGCTTATGGGGAGTAATGTTAAACACTTTAAAATGTTAAAACTTCTTAAAGAAACAGCATAGACCACTCAACAAATCCTCCATATTTATTTTGCATCATGTCTGAGTTATTTGGTCACTTTTCCAGTGAGAACACAGAAAGATGTGCTTAGAAATATTCTGGTTGTCAACACTTGGAACAAAAGTTAGTTCCTGTATTGTAGGCTTGTTGGTGGCTTGACAAGATAAAACAAATAGCTTTTTTTAAATTCTTTACAAATAATGGTATCATTTTGAAGACAGGTTCTACTTAACCTAAGACCACTAAGAATAACCCTAGGGCCTGTTGTATGGTTCTGACCCTGATGTTGGAAAACACAGACTAAAATTACATTGTATGTTGGCACAGAAAATATCATGTTTGTAGGTACCGATGGATTTTGATTGGTAATCTAGGAATGGAGGTAGATGATTGGCGGACCGCGATGGGGGCGGGGTTGCAGTTCTCAGTATACACACTGGGTGCTGCTTGAGAGGGAAGTGCTGCTGTGGTGTGACGTGGAAAGGCAGAATGGCTATGGCATTTATGTCTTTTGTAATCAGACAAGTAAAATCCGGAGACACAATAAGAACAGAATGCCAGCTTCCAGCAGGATATAACTCTATGATGTAGCACATATGCACACTGACTCACCTCTGTGAAGAATAACTGTCAGTCGTCATGGACGGAGGGTTGACTATCACTTTTATATCGGTCGCGATGTTTGTAGGTACTTTTGTACTTGGATTCATCCCACTGTTGTTCAGGCTTAACGAGGTAAGTGTTTGTTTTCTTAAAGTATCGTTAGCCGGGAGATTTAAACTATACTCAAATTATCCTATCAAGATGACATCATTCTTGAATAAACTTTATAGACATTGAAACTACAGTATTTTTATTGTGCCATCAAAGCATACACATGACTATTACTAAGATGTACACCCGTAGATGATGATGATTTATGTTTTTGAATGAGAAGCATTGCTTATTGTTATGAGAAACTTAGAAATCGCTCCGGTTCAGCCTTTCAAATAAATCCCTGTGGGGAGGGAACACTGCTCAGCTGAACATCACATGTCTCTCCTCAGAAAAGCCTCCAGTTTGTCTCCATCTTGGGGGCAGGACTGCTGTGTGGAACAGCGCTGGCCATCACCATCCCTGAGGGAGTGGGTTTACTGGAGGAGTCATGGAGAGGTGAGCAGAACATGCCATATAATCCAAATCCAATAAAACAAATGTCCACCTGTCAAATGTGGCTTGTACATGTTTGATTGTGACCCACCACTCAATAGATTACCATTGTGTTTTTGGCTGGAGAATGAAGCACATCCACCAGCCACTTAACAGCATTTAAATGGTGCCAATTTCAAGTCCTATATTTATTTGTAGTACTTTTTCACTCCCATGTCGTTTGTTGTCTTGCCAACTGATTACCCATAATCGGTGCTGTCCTCAACCACCAAATGCACACCTGTGCTTGATTGTAACCCCTTGAGATGAGTGATGAGGCACATAGTGATGAAAGCAGGCTCAGCGCTCTAAGTGTATGCTGCTCTGCCTTGTTGTTCCTTTTGTGGATTTGATCAAAAGCTATTCCTGTGCTTCATCCTCTCTCTGCAGCATCCTCTTCCTCCTCTGATGTGCCATCCGGTCTGAATGCCAGTGAGAAAAATGAAAATGTAACTACCACTGATGGTCCACCTCGGTTTCTCATTGGGATGGCTCTAACTTTCGGGTTCACCTTCATGTTTGTGGTGGACCAGATCGGAAGTTACTTCTCCATGCCTGGCAAGTTGGCATTTTTATTCAAAATCAGAATCAGAATTCCTTTATTTGTCCAACAACTGGGAAATGTATAACAGCGGAAGTATAGTGCGGACTTAAATAAAAAGGTATGCACACATTATTAATAATTTAAAAACAATAGGGTTAAAAACAAAATAAGTAAGTAGTAGAATGTGAATTATTCACATCTTTTAAATGTATCACTTCATGTGCAACTTCTTTCTTTTTTTCCCTTTTTTTTTTTTACAAAACTTGTCTTAAATGAGATAGTACCAATTAATACTTCATCCCCACTCATTTTTTCAAAAATAAACAAACACTGACCAAAAACCTCCACCCACCCCCTCCCACATGCCTCCCTTCACACACACACACACACACACACACACACACACACACACACACACACACACACACACACACACACACACACACACACACACACACACACACACACACACACACATACACACACACACACACACACACACACACACACACGAAAAACAAGCCTGAGATGTTTAAGTGTTCCCCAATATCTCTGTATTTTGGGTGGTCCTGTGGCTCATCTCGTCTACAGAGCCTCGTAAATTGCGTTCCATATATGTTGAATTGTTTTTCCTTGTTACTGTCTATTGACATGTGCAATTTCTTATTTCAGGGCGAGTGTCTATTTTGGCTAACAGTGTCGGCATCACAGCCACTTTGGGGCTGGTGATTCATGGTGCAGGTACACAGCACAATCTCACTATTTATTTTGCCTTGTGTTTACCTAACGTACACAACATCTTTCAAGGAAACATCCTTGATAAAAATCAGTGGAAATGTTCATTAAGACTCTTTTACCTTTTATTGACCTCTTTCTTTTGCAGGCTGAAGCTTAACCTAATTGTCCCACGTGTGAAATTTGGCATTCAGAAAACAGAATATCAAACCAGACTTATTCATCAGTTTGATGTAATGCCTGTCTATATTTTTGTGAACATTAAAGGTCCCCTATTATACTGTTTTTCATCAATATATGATAGGTCTCAGATATATATACAAACATGTCTCTGAAGTGTTTGGCTCGAAATACCAAACAGATTGTGCATATCAGCATCCCATAAACCCCTCTGTTTCAGCCCTGTTTCAAAAGTGCTGATTTTGTGTCTGTGACTGTTAAACACCTTCACTTTTGAAAGAACATTCATCTGTTTGCAACATATATCAATATTCCAATTACTTGTGTATAGACTATTCTGCACTATTTCTATTATATTGTATTTTATTTACTTGCACTATAATCTGTTTGACTGTGTTGCACTGTTGGGGGAGCCTGTGACCTAAGATTTTCATTGTCATAACTACACTGTAGCTATGTACAAATGACAATAAAAGCCTTGCATCTTGAATCTTTAGATGAAAATAAGGAGCCACTCCCCACGCCCCTCTGCGAGATATTTGTTTAAACAAAACCACAATGGTGCTCTAGGAGGAAATACAGGTAACAAGGTGGGCGGGTGTTACCTTGGTTGGTTATTGGCTAATGGTTACACAACCCAAAAAAACATTGTGGCCAAAATTTGATCAGCTCATTTTCAGACAGGTTTTTAAATAAATGGATCAGCACAAAAAGAGAGGGGGTCTTTGTTCCTGACACTTTCAGAATCTCTTTACACAGAGGGGACACATGTTTTATGTATAAAAGACTTGAAAAAGTGGATTTTGCATAATAGGTGTCCTTTGTTTGTGTTTGTTTGCTTGAAGCTGATGGATTTGCGGTGGGTGCAGCTGTAGCCTCGGGGCAAGTGACAGTGCAAGTTATAGTATTCCTAGCTGTGATCCTACACAAGGTGAGTTTCCTGAGAGAACCTGTCAGTGAGAAACATGGTATCCAAATCAATACTCAATAGAAATAATATTAACTCCTGATCTAATATCCTAGGCACCTGCTGCTTTCGGGTTGGTCTCCTTCCTGATGCATGCAGGCCTTGAAAAGAAGCACATTCAGGGACATTTGCTGGCCTTCTCAGCTGCAGCACCCGTACTTGCCATCACCACTTACTTCATATTACATGCAGTAAGAAAGCCCCAACAGCCATTTTGTGTCGTGTCGTACAGTTTGACTTCAGTATTATTTGATGTGATGTGTTTTGTGTCCGCAGTCTGGCAGCTCCTCTCAGAATCAGCTCAGTGCGACAGGAGTGGGAATGCTCTTCTCGGCTGGGACGTTCCTCTACGTGGCCACAGTGCATGTTCTCCCCGAGATCAGCAGTAGGAGGACGGGCAGACCCTCCTCTGACCCCGATCAGTACTCTGGAGCCGAGGCCCACCATGAACGATATCTGGGGCTCCTGGAGAGCCTCACTTTGATCCTGGGGATCGGGCTTCCTATGGTGCTGGCCCTTGGGCTGCATGACGACTGAGAAGGAAACGTCAGGAAAAGTGTAGTGCAAAGGTCACAGTGTCACCACACCTCAAAGGAAAACACCTGTCCCTTTTCACTTCCTGTATGGCAGAATGACTGGACAAGATGTGTGGAGAAAGAGAGTTTACCTCGCTGTGTTTTAGTCTCAGTAAAAATGAGTCCAGCTATTGTTTGTGTATCAAAGGAGCTCTCCAGTGGGTCTAAAAACCTGATAGCTAATATATTTCCTCTGGGGGGGGTTTCCATTCCAAGACTGAAAAAAGGCGCTATTTGTTGTTTGAAGTTTGAATACAATAAGCCTTATACAGGCCCTTTCATCATCACGTCACAAAGATAAGATTCAAAGGTGAAATCCCAGTAACTCAATATATTTACAGTATCAACCTGTAACCATAACTGCTCGTTATGATCACTGCTTAATGTTGTGCTCTTTTTTGTTTTCTCCACATGTTTTTTGTCGAAGTGGTAAACTAAAACCTGTGTTAAGTCAATGTTGATACAAATATAGAAACAAAATGTCAATATTAAAGCAATTTACAATTTAAAGAATTGTTTATTTATTGAATTGTAATACAACTTTCATACAAACAATGTTAGGAAACACTCCACTTGTTATGGTCCAGAAAAAAATGACACATCAGAGGCCTGAGGCCTGAGGCCTGTACTACGAAGCCGGATTTTCGCTTAGCGGGCTAACTTCAGGGAAAACTCTGAGTTTCCGGTCCTACGACGCTGGTTCACTTCTTAGCGGGCTAGATCTCCATGGTAACTTGTGCTGAACGGCTAACCTGCTCCGGAGCAGGTTAGGTTGCAGGCTGAGATCAACTCAGTGAAAGCACTGCCTGCTGACCAATCAGAGCTCAGTGTGCGGAGTTTAAAGCTATCAAGTCATATTACAGGAGAAAGGAAATACAGTAAAACTGCCGTTGCAGGAAAGACGGCCGGCAAAAATCACAGACTGTGTGAACGTGAACATTAATAGAATATCACCTCCCATCTTCAGAGCAATCTGACTATTATAACATTAGCGTTAAGAAAGCTTAATTAAATATCTGCCACAACATAAGTAACCGGATCAAAGTATACGTGGCATATCACATCATAATGTATCATATATTTCCTTATCTGAGTCAGCTTCTTGAGCCGTATCTGGCTGTGCAACACTTACAGTGTCACATACTGTATGCAGAAGTATTATTTTAAGCAACACATTAAGTTGACGAAACACTCGAGTCAAATGTAATTAAAGTCAGATCGTGTTTTAGACGGGGCAGTGATATCATAAACCTGTTAATGTACGCATTCAAACACTTTTTCTTTTACCAGCTGTATTCACCTTACAGGTGCAACTATGTGGCTTTTATCCTGGATAAAGTGTTTAAGTCATGGATGTTTAAAGTTTAACGTCTTCATATTTGTCTAATATTATAGTTGACTTTTCATTCAGGAAGTATGACGCTGCGCTGTCAGTACACTTGTCCGTGTTTGTGATTGGTCGAATGCTCCAAATACCACCCCTTTTATGTGAACGCGCACCGAACTAGATAGGGTAAAGCTGGCTTGAGTTAACGAGTTGATAACCAGCGTCGTAGGACTGCTTAGCGAGAGCGCGTTTGTTTTGGATTAGGCAAACCGGGTAACTCAAACATATCCAGGTTATGTTGAACCGGCTTCGTCGTACAGGCTTCTGGTGCCAGAGCAGAGCTACATTTATGAATGTCATTTTACTTTAATCCATGATTAAAGACAAGTATATTATAGTAATGTATGAGACACAGTGATATGGTAAGACACTGACATAATCAGAGCACCAGAAAGAAACAACACAATAGTGCTCAACATCTTAATCAAATTCAAAACACCCAAATGGCTACAGACCACGATGTAACCCTTCTCTCTCCGGTCTGCAGTCTTCACCGCCACTGCTCAACCCTCTCTTCCAACTCCATCTTAGAAGCAAACCCTCCATCACCGACACACAAACACTGTAGGGTGGTAATACATGTTGTCATGCTGGATCACTCAAAACAAACTGCTTGATTTGAGGAGGTGTTGGAACAATAAACCATCACGTGCAGTATATAAGCTAAGCAAAAAATGATGTGCTGTGGCTCACAGAGCATGTTTTTGTTCATATATAGAAGCTGGATATACATTAAAGCAATGGGATCTAAAATGATTCACAAGATACAACATAAAGAGAACAAATATTGTATCATACTTTTCTCAAGTTGTGACTTTTATACATTATTTGGTTATATTTGAAAAGCTAAAACCAGTTGAGTTTTCACATCTCATAGATGTATGCAGCCTGACATGGGGGGGTTACAACAAGCTTTATTTCATAGGGTCAAAATACAAAATAATACCACTTCAGTAGAGCACAACTTTATTGTTAATTATGCTGTTGGGGGGTTACTACGAGGTCAGACAGAACTCCAAAGATTTATTCTAAACTTTAAATATATTTGAATGTCATCGTAAACGTATACATTTATAAATATGGCACAATCTCAGGGACTTTCATCAAATTAAACTGTAAAAAAAATAAACCCCTACAGCTCTGATACATGATGATCCATTGTAGCTCCTGTGCAGCACACACACTCTCAGGTCCAACTCATTCACATAAGGGTTTAGCTCATCCTCAATACACATGTATGATTGCAGGAGGGGTTTCTCATTAAATTCCTATATATTTCTGTTATTTAATGCCTGAACTGTAGGCTATCAAAGCCTATGAGAGCGGCAGTTGATGTGCAGAGTCTTTCATATCTTCATGCAGCTCATGGAGGCGGTCAGCTGCGCCTCCCGGGCCATCTGATCAAACGTCCGGCTGTGTGTGTGCTGCCTCACCCTCTCCCTCATGTGAAAGGAGGCGCGGGCCAGCCTGTGCGCCTCCTCCTGAATCTGCTCCCTCTGCCTCCTCAGCCTCTCCCTCCTCACATCCTTCATGAAGATGCAGCTCTCTGTGACCTTCCTCTCCTCCTCCTCCTCCCTCTGCCTCCTCTCCCTCAGCCTAAGGTGGGAGGTCTGCCTGTGTTGGTTGTGCTGCTGCGCCTCCTCAGCCCTGCTCCTCTGCTGGGCCTCTGCGTGCAGGCCGGCTCTCTCCGAGCGACGCTGACTCAGCTGAACCAGGATCTGTTTGTGTGTGAGCTCCTGAGAGCTCTGCAGCTTGGCCCTCAGCTGCGCTCTCTGAATCTGCAGCTCCTCCCGGGCTGCCCTCTCCTGCACCTCCCTCACCCGAGCATCCACAGCCTGGGCATGTTTCTCGCAGGATAATCTCATCTTCATCTCAAACGTGCTCCTCATCTGCTCCACCTCTTCCACCCCTTGCTGCTCCGTCTTCTGTTTCAGCAGGATGTGTCGAAGCAGCTCCCTACGATTCCCCTCCTGCAGCCTCCTCCTCTCCTCCCTCTCCTGGGACACTTTGCTCCTCCTGGCCCTCTGCTTCTTCTCTTCTGCCACATGTCTCTCCCTCTCTCTCTCCCTTTTTTCCACCTCCTCCCTTTCCCTCAGCAGCTTCTCCTGGTAGTGTTTTCGCCCCTCTGCCTCTCTGTGTGCAGCCTCTATTTTCTCCCTGTGGTGTCCCTCCACCTCCTCTTTCTGCCTCCTCCAGCGGTCCTCGTGCAGCACCACCTCCAGCTCCAGTTGTACCACTTTCTCCTTCTCCTTACGCTCTCTGAGTCTCCTGCGGCCTTCCAGATCATCGTGCCAGCGTTGCATGCTCCGCCTCAGTTTCTTCCTCCTCTGTTTCTCTACCTCAGCGCGTTGGGCCTCCTGCTGCCTGCGGGCCTCCTGTCGCTCCTGCTCCTCCTGCTGACAGACCTTCAGGCAGGCCTGCTCCTCCTGGTGCTTCACCAACATGAGAGCTGCTATCTTGCGATCCTTCTCTGACAGTGTGACACACATCTCCTTGTTGATGTCCCTGGTGAGCCTCTCTAGCTTCATCTCAGTGGCTGGAGTGTATCTGAGGTCTCCCAGACTGACGCTGCACACTGTGCTCCTGTCTGGCTCTCTGTAAGAGGACCTGCTGGCAGATTTCCCTTTAACACACAGATCTGCATACGGGATACAGCTCATTGTGTCTCTGTCCCTTGAGTGATCCTTCAGTTTGGAGTCAGGCACCACTTCCGGGCCGGGCACTTTGTCACTGCCCGGCCACCTGTCCCCAGCAGCCGTCCGGATAATCCTCTCCCTCTCCTCGCGACACATTTGTAAACGCTTCATTCTCTCCTTCTCGTAGGATTCGTGCACGACTCTCATGGCCTCATAGGGCACGTGGTGCTGGTCAGCTACCAACTCGTTTAGCGATTTGATCAGAAGTTCAACAGGTTTGACACCGAGTCGCGTGCAGGACTCTAATGAGCGGGGACTCGTTAAGACGTAGCGACTCCGCTCCGCTTCTGCAGAGTCAAAGTTGTTCAGGTCCAAACGAAGCCCGGGAGACGTGGTCCTCAGCTCCCCCATGATAAAATAATAGTTAGATTACCTTCATAATTGTTTCAGGTGCGAACAGTGGTTTCTGCTCCCATGCTATCCCCCCTGTAGGTGCATGCTTTCGGCTTTCCCTTGGAGAGGTCAAGCAGGGATTAGCTGCGTCTCTCCAGACAAGCGCACTACTAACCTCAGCTGTAGGTGACACACTGAGACAGCTCAACATTTCAAAAAGTAAATGTGAAGTTTGGTGTGGCGACTTCAATGTTCACAGTAGTTTATGGGGAAGTGATCACACTGGTAACAATAGAACCGTTATTGAAGAAATTATGGATTCAAGGAACATGTCTGTTTAAATAATGGCAGAGGAACAATAATAGATATTCATAGGAATAAGATGTCATGCCTTGATTGATTTAACATTGGTCCTTCAAATAGCAAGTTCAAGTTAATGGAAAATATACAAAAATAATATTGGTAGTGATCACTTTCCTATTATTTGTTCTATAATATAGACTGACAAAAATATCCCAGAAAGTACCCCTATAAGAAAGTGGTTCATGGTGGAATGATGAGTGACTGTAAAAGAAAGAAATTGAGGTCTCAGAAACCTGAGGAAAAATCTGAATCTAGAAAATCTGATAGAATATTAAAGAAAGAGAGCCATAGCACGCAAAATAATCAAAACAGCTGAAAGGAACACCTGGAGACAACATGTTCCTAAATAGGAAGAGAGAGAGGTGTGGGCCAGGTATGGAATATGGATAAAAAGTAGGACTACCTGTTTAATACCAGTTCTTGCAGACAGCATTAATTTAGCAATGATGGATAGGGACAAAGCTAACCTTCTAGGAAATGTATTTTCCAATGTTCACAGTGGAAACCACCTCAATGAAATTCACAAAAATAGGAAAGAAATAATTATAATAAATTATGAAAAGATATGAATAAACGGAAGAAATTAGATCAACAATGGATTTGGAATTCAAAGAACTGAAAAGGGCTTTATAACCTGTTAAGCACCAAGCCTGTTTTTCATGTTTCAGGCTCGAAAATGACATGCCCAAAACAAATGACTACAACTTAACTTCTAAAAGGGTTATATGAATAATTTATTTTTATCAAAGCAAGGTTAGATCTGTGAGTTGGATGTAGAAGTGTCAGAATCAATATAGATGTTTTTTATTTTAAAGAAAATTCAGATTTTACATAGTAAAAAAACTGTAAATTATAGTGTCCGTCCAAAAATTCTTTTTTACAGACAGTGAAAACTACCCTTGGATGATGGGTTAGTAGACTAAAAGCTTTAGGAATCCAAAGTACAACATATAATAAGTACCCTGTATCAAGATTGATGCAAAACAAGTGACATTTGACCTTTTTAGAGAGGTTTAGCCAAAACCACCCCACCTCTGAGGTGATTTGGGTGAAAATGTTTTTTTTTCCATATCTCTGGCCCCCCTTGCTCGATTTGGATGGTTGACACCTCTTTCTGACCCCCACACATACACGTTGTGAAGAGAAAAGGTGGGGGCTGCGCGCATGTAATTTTGCATCAGAGTGGACCATCTCTCGCTCTGACATTTGGAAACGAAAAAGCAGTTTTATTGCTTATGGATTATCAGAAATAATTTCAAAGAGTTCACAGACACATTGGATTAACCTATGGATTAACTGCAGCATCGTTTTTTTATCGTTTTAATGCCATTGAAGACCAGTTTTGACCAAGGTAAGCCATGTTAGCGTTTCTAGCTACCTAGCTCCACATGTTATGATGTACGCTTTAGTTTATAGCGTCGCAAATGTTTATCACTGAGTGTTGAGGTGGGCACCAAACGATTCTGTGTCTCCAGGACACCCAAAACGAGTGGTTGTTGTCTGTGCATCTACTGTAGGATAAGTAATAAGGGAGTTATTGTGAGTTTAGGTGCAGAGATAGGTTACATTTTTTTCGCTCGTGGCTAATTCAGAGGCTGAGTGTTAGCATTGTGTTTTTTTTTTGGAAAACAGTTAGCTGAGTTTCTTCCCGTTACATGGATATAAAACATTCATAGTTTATTAAATATTAAGATTCCTTAGACGTTGTTTCCTGCAAATGACGCGTTTATCCGCCCGGTACCGGGGGGATGGTGCGTAACAGGATAAGCAAGGTTTCTGCCCCGGGGGAGGATCAACTCCTACTCAATGTTTAAACATCTGTCAAAAGAAGCTTTGGAAATTGTGTTGAACCTTTTTAATAAGATATAGGTTGAAGGTAGATTACCTTATAAATGGAAGACAGCATTAATTCTCCCATTTGCTAAACCAGGGAAACGTTCAGAGTGCAGAGAACTAGACCAACAGCGCTGACATCACATTTGTGTAAATGGATGGAAAAATTATTGTATACAGATTCAATTATCAGTTGGAACAAAAAAAAACTATTCTATTTTACAGAACATTTAAAGCAAAAGTAGGATCAGAAATATCAAAAAACATTTGAAATTCTTAATGGAATACCTCAAGGGATTGTAATCAGCCCTATACTTTTTTATATCATGATAAACGACATCTTTGAACATACAGGAACAGTAATGTCTGATGATGGAACAATCTGAAAGAGGGGTAAATATACTAAATATTTAGATAGAAAGCAATCATAAACGTAGAGAGATGGTCTTTCAATTGGGGATTAAAGATTTCCGTAACAAAGTTGAACTATATGCTACTCACTAAAAATAAAATAGGTAATGAACAGGGACTTGCTTTACAGTACACCTATGGAAATATGGAGGACGGAACATGACTTAAGTATAAATAAATAAATGTGTAAATAAATGTATGAAGAAATACAGGAATAAATAAATAAATACGTAAATAAATAAATAAATCCAGGAAGAAATAAATACAGGAAGAAATAAATGAAGAAATAAATACAGAAATAAATAAATGTTGAAATAAACACACAAATAAATAAATAAAAGAATAAATAAATAAATAAATGCATAAATAAATATGGAAATAAATACACCAATGTATAAATAAATAAATAAAAGTCGAAAATAAAACAGAACACACGTTATTATATATCTTTCATATATTTCTACATTTACTCGACATACATTTATTTATTTATTTATTTATTTATGTGTCCGTATGCTAATGAGGTGGGCGGTCCTAACCTCAGTCTGAAGCAGGATTGGTTACAGGAGTGTGTGATCATTTCTGGCAGAGGGCTATACTACTAACGCCTGATAACCGCGCTGATTTGAATGCAGGAGCTTTACTGTTTAGCCCTTATCTTTATACATCCATGGTTTATCCACAGTTGTAAGGATTATTTATGGGTATTGGTTTAAGAGCCATTGCTCCAGCCATGATTGGAGATCATTAGCGGACCATTTAAAGAACGGAGAACCAAAAGACTATGTCCAGTTTTGTGTGGAACGATGTATAGAGGACTTGGCTCAGCTCGACATGGATGTGGATGTTAACCCAGCTGTGTTTGAGAGTCTTCAAGAGGTTGCCCGCCAACTTGAAATCCTCTCGGAAACAGAGGAGGCGACCCTTGGGCTTCCATCTTACATGTTGCCCCCAAACGTTATTGAAGCACATCTTCGTTGGGGGCATACTGCTGGGGTCATCGCGAACGGGTGTGCGAAATAACAATTATTAAAGAAGCCATTATTAGAGAGTTGCCGTGGGTGTACACTACACAGAATGAACAGATGTGACTTGCCATGAATCTCTTGCTTCTGCCTGGCTCCAACAATTGGCGAATCCTGCTTCAGACTGAGGTTAGGACCGCCCACCTCATTAGCATACGGACACATAAATAAGTAAATAAATAAATGTATGTCGCGTAAATGTAGAAATATATGAAAGATATATAATAACGTGTGTTCTGTTTTATTTTCGACTTTTATTTATTTATTTATACATTGGTGTATTTGTTTCCATATTTATTTATGCATTTATTTATTATTTTATTTATTTATTTGTGTATTTATTTCAACATTTATTTATTTCTGTATTTATTTCGTCATTTATTTATTCCTGTATTTATTTATTTATTTACGTATGTATTTATTTATTCCTGTAGTTCTTCATACATTTATTTACACATTTATTTATTTATACTTAAGTCATGTTCCGTCCTCCATACTAGTGAATGTACTTTTCCAGTAATCCTCTGTCAATGTCCCCTCCTGAGTACAAGAATGCATGTTTTTCTGCTATTTTTAATAAGCATTAAAAAGCCTTTCTTCCTGAGACTGATATTATTGGACACTCCACCATGTCAATACGTTTCTCTTTTTGTCGTGTATTGGTCTTTTGTAGAGGTTTTTCATTGCCAGCTAAAATATTGCCTATAGGGCAGCAAATTGGTCAGAACCAGCCCTGGTGTCATCCCCACAGTACCCCCCATTTGAAACATGTTCCCACGGCTATGGATGCCTAAGTCCATGAGTGGGAAATATAATCTACGTATTCGTCCAGTATTGGATCTTCTAAAGTTTCACCATCCCGGAATAAAACAATAAATCTATGTAGGTTATTGGGTTATTTTTCAATATTTGGCAGATGGGACCAAAAAGGGAGGTGTAGCTCAACAGGAACCTTTGATCTTGTGTTGGGTAACATTGACTCTGTAAACACGACTCTTAAAGTATGTGGGTCACACTGCAGCTTTTCTAAGTAAAATACTTTGATAAATGGTAGTTTTAAACGCTTTTGCCTTTTTACTTCTGATGCTAACTGATGTGAGTCCCATGGTCCCCTGAAGTGGCTGAATTACTTTAAATATAGTGTATATATTCAGGTTTACAATACACGTCCTATTCTTCATAAAGCAGGAGGCTAGACACCCACAGCCAATTACTAAGAACATCTATGTAAGGAGGTATTTTTAGGTTTTAAACAATAATATGATATATGAGGATTTTACTTCTAATGGATTATTTTTACTTTACTTCATGCACTGGTTAATACTGCTTGTTGTTAGCTTCTGTTGCGCTAACGGATAAAAGAAGCTGTTTCTACAATAATGTGGA